ATATATATATATATATATAATACTTTATTATTAATATATTTAGTTCGGTTTAAATAATAATTTATTATTTTATTATAAATATACAGATAAGAAATATTTATTAACATAATTATAATAATGATATATATAATATTATCATTATAAATATTAAAACCAAAAAAAATATTGATTAACGCATAAAATAAAATTTCATCTCTGTAAATAAAAAAAAACTGTAAATGATATTCAAATAAGAAAATCCACCTGTTGATTTTTGTGTCTTTTTAACGTAGAAAAGATAAAAGAAAATCGATCGAAGAAAGAGAAGTAAGTAGATAATGTCATGATCTTAAATACCGATCACCGATCGTCGATCTAACGACGATTAATCTCTAATTACAGTACCGATCTACTCCTCTACTACAAAAATAACTCTCAAAGAGGAGGAGGGGCGTTTCATTTCGCGGCAAAACGGTCGGTCGGTCTTTGCAAATCCTAGTGCAAGGAAGAAAGCTTAATAACAGGAACCGATCGTGGAATTTCAGACGGTGGCTTGAACGAGGTTATTAACTATCTCGTGTTTATCTGATCGACCCGATGCACGCTCTCTTAGAAACTCTCACAACTACTAACCACCCTTTTTTACTTTAAAACATTCTCTTTCACAAAGTTCGTATCGATATACTAAAGGTTTGACCAACTAATTTTTCTTTTTATTTTTTCCTTTTTTACTATTTTATTATTTTTTATTTTTTATATATGTTTTTTAATAAATTCTCAACACTGTTCGAGAAATGGTAAATAATTTCATTCAATTAATTAATAGAATTTGTATTAATAAGGTATCAATATACCATATATACACATTGTAATTTAATATTTTATTATTAATACTGATATATATATAAAGAATTATTATTATTATTCTTACAAATAATAAATATTAGATATTTATAAATGTAAATGAAAATAATATTACTCTACGAAGCTTTTAAGGAAGGATTGAAACATTTTGCGAATTTAATAAGCACGTTGAACAACGAACGTAATACTTTATATAATTTTGTAATAAATCCGAATAAGTTATACAGTTAAATACGCTCAAAGTTCTTTTGCAAATGTTAAGTATTTTTTTGTTTACTCACAGACGATCGTGAATTCTTGTGAAATCTTCTTGAGATACAATAAAGGTTTTTTATTTACTACAATATTTTTTGTATTTTTTATTTTTCATCGAGGCTACGAACAATCGAACAAATACAAAGGGACGTTAACGAGGATACGAAAAAGAAACGGAAAAAGATAATTCGATTTCGATTGGATAAACCACTCACACGCTTCCCACGCTAATGATTTATCCGGAAAGAGGGAAGCCCATCTCAATTTCTACAATTACGAGAGATGTTCTTTCTTTCTTATTCTTTTCTAAAGTCGAAAATGTGCGATAGACCGAATTTCGGTCAATAAAAATCAATTCGAATTGATACTCACCGTAATACTAACTCTAGAAAAAGGGTCTTRAGAGAAAGAGAAAGAGAGAGAAAGAGAGTAGAATAAAAAAAAAATAAAAAAAGGATAATAGAGTTATCGTAGAATTCGGAAAGGAATAGAAGAAATTTATTTCCTTCTATGTTGTTCGTGATGTAACCAGACGATATTTTCTCCGTGGGTTGAAAACGTGCGAAATAAACGCACGTGAGAAAGATTAGAAGAAGAAATAAAGAAAAAAAAAGAGAAGAAAGAAAAAGGTTTTGCAAGAAGCTCGAATAAAACCGTTCAATGCACGTAGTTACATAGCTAGAGATACGTTTTCTTCCTGGTTCGGTACACGGATTATTGGGTCGAGAAGATTCTCAAGAAAAGGGCTTGGTGGAAAGGGTCGTAAAAATTGCAAACCCTTCCTGACGCTCTAGTCTCTCTTTCTCTTTCTCTCATTCTTTTTTTTCTCTCTCTCTCTATCTCTCTCTCTCTCTCTTTTGCTTCTTCATCAGTACCTACCTTTCTACCTACCAACCATACACGAGCCATACTTGTCTTTCAATTATTCCGTTATTTTCAAGAAGTCACGAAGAAGAACGTCGGAGTATCGTGGAGATATACTCGAATAGACGAATGAAGGGAAGTTACGGCACGATTCTTCTTTTCGAACCAACCACTCTCGTTTACTCTTTTGCTTCTTCAGAATTCAATGGACGCGAAACGGCAGCCAACTTCGATCAATGAGACAACGACGTTCAACGACAATTTTTTCTTTCTCTCTCTATCTTTTACTTTCATATATAAGAATCCGTTAAAAAAAAAAAAGGACGGGGGAATAACAAAAAGTACAAAGTTGGTGATGATGCTGCTGTCGCTCGTAAAAAGAATAAAAAAAAGAATAAAAAAAAATAAACGTTTCCAGCAAGTGAATCCGAAGAAATTGTCGCCGCTCGTTCGTTCGTTAACGCGAATGACCCTTGAACCTAACGCTTTATCTATCTTTCTCTCTCTTTCTTCTTCATACTTTTCTTTCTTCTTATTTTTTTCTTACTCCTTCGAGTTTAAATGAATAAACTCGAGACTAATTATTCCCGATAAGTAGAAGAATTAAAAAAGTCTCGCCGTTTTTCTACCTTTTTCTTCTAAGAAGTTTGATAATATTCAAATGAACGAGCAGCATAGACCGAGATCAAGGCAAATTTTTTCTAACAGGAATTCAATCGCAATTCATTATCTTCGATTACGATTTTTAATAAAAAATTATTAATAATAAATTATACATTTTCGATGTATGCGTACGGTTTTTCCTATACCACTTTATCCAATTGCAATAAAGATTGTATACTTTGATTGTTCTTTTTTTCAAAAATTTAATTAATCTCCTTAACTGTATTTAAATGTTTTCCCAATTTTCCCAAAGAAAAAAAAGGATACTATTTTTCAACAATAATATCAGCATAAAAATGCCTAATTTCGATTTAATCTAAATGACCTAATGCAAAAAAAAATATTTTCCTCATCAACCACACACATTTACAATTCTAACCATCCCGTGTAAATGTATACTAATATATATTATTATTAAAAAAAAATACATTTACCAAAAAAAAAAAAGGTTACAACAGTTATCTCGATTTATATTATTTATTATAATCGATAAATAAATAAGAATTATTTTACGATAATGAACGACGAACGATTACGACTTGGCCCTGTTACAGAGTGCAACTGCAACCTCCACGCGAGAAAGTGCAGATTCAACATGGAACTCTACAAGCTGTCGGGACGTGTCAGCGGAGGCGTTTGCCTGCAGTGCCGGCATTTTACGGCAGGAAGGCACTGTCATTATTGCCGAGAAGGTTACTACAGGGATCCGGCGAGGCCGATCACGCATCGCAAGGCCTGCAAACGTAAGTACACTCCAGAGACAATGCTTACATGTAAATCAAACGACTGGCAATCCTATCTCTCTCTCTGCCACCACCCCCTCTTTTCCCCTTATCCACCCTTCTCCAGCTTGTATCTCCCTTCCCTTACTTTCCCTTCCCTTCCTCGAAGTCTCCCCACGGGCTAATCGTGGAAATCGCACGCTTGCGAACATCGAAATTACCTGTGAGCTTAATCACGATCGGGCTGCGATCTTATTAGCATAATCCTTGAGACGTTTAAACCGTTATACGTGCGAGGAGAACAACAACGTGTAAGAGTTATACGACAATGCGATTTACCTCTTGGTTGCCGTTCCCTTCTAACATTTTCCTTCTTGTATATTCTATTAACTAAACATTTATCTTCGAGAGAAAAAACAACAAGAAAAGAAAAAGTACATTAGACTGAGAAATGCGACACGAGAATGCTTCTATCGTTAGAAGGATACAAACTTGGATTACATGGTGTGTATTGTATATACGATCGCGATAATCTCAATAATAATTAGATTGAACATTAGAATAATACCTAGATTCGTATTTCAATAGGACAATGAAAAGGGAAACGATTAGCCGACATGCCGTTGAAGTGTGTGTCAATTTAAAAACATTATCCAAATGAAATAGAATATTATCATCGTCAAATCAAAAACACACATTACATGTAACTTTTCTTCAAAGTACTCGCGACTCCAAATGAAAGATAATAAAGAGAGAGAGAGAGAGAGAGAACTAACAACTATTACCATTCGTCTCAGTCGTTTCTCGGTACTGTTACAAAGTGGTTACCAGCTGAGCAACCCCCTAATCTCGGTGCATTCAATTTATGTACGTTTGTCTAGGCCCACAAACCGCCGCTGGGATAACGATCTCTTGGTTTCTCTCTCTCTCTCTCTTTATCTCTATCTATATATCTATCTATCTCTTTCTCATTCCTATGGGTGTGAGAAAGCACGCTACATATTCACGTTCTATCCTTTTTCTTGTTGTATACATAAACTCGTACAACGAAGACAACCATCGTCATCGTCATCTTCTTCTTCTTCTACGTTGTCTTTCTGTCGTGCCATTGCATGCCACGCCAATGCATACATGCATATATGCATGCACATGTATACATAAGAAGAAGAAGAGAAAGATTCTTACTATATATTTCGCGATATACACGGCGCCATTGTAATACGGTAGATTTGTTGTCCATGGAACTCCTCTTTCTCTTTTTCTCTTTCTCTTTTTCTCCTTCTCTTTTTCTCTTTCTCTTTCTATTTTTCTGTTCCTTTAAATAAATTAACGGCAAACGACGAATGGTCTCGCTTAAAGCCTCTTGATCTACCAATGATCCTTTCTAAAAAGAATATATGTCTTACTTGATCTTCCCTGTTCTATACTAACCTCTTATAAAATGAAAGATGCACTCTACAGAAAAAGAAACTAAATACACCTGAAAAAAGAGAGAGAGAGAGAGAGTTTAAAGGAAAGAAGAGAAACTCGATATGCATTTGCCACACACATACACACACTTTCTTTCTATCGTATTTATTTTCTAATTTGCAATTAGAATAGTAAAGGTTTTTGTTCTATTCTATCTAATATTTATAGTGTATTTTTATCTAAAACAAAAAAACAAAAATAATAATAAGTATAAAAGAGTATAAAAGAAACGTAGAATTAACATTATAATAACCTTTCCATTTACAATTAGATTAAATAAAAATTAAGTTAATTAATTTTATCTTTAATAAAAATCGATCATATTAGGTAACCCCTCCTCCTATTTTATAAAATATTAATTTAAATAAAATTAAATATATTATAACATATTAATTTTTATAAAATAAAAATATATAATAAAATGTTATTTATATAATATTATATTATTAAAAATATTAGATAAATAATCAGATATATTATCTCATTTGTATCTAAAAAAAAAAATAATGACTCCCCAATTAATTAATTATTCTCGACTTTATTAAGAAAGTATGAATAAAGTTATTTTTTATATTAAAAATATTTGATAAATAATCAGATATATTATCTCATTTATATCTGAAACACACAAATCACGATTCCCCAATAAATTAATTAATTAATTATTTTCGACTTTATTAAGAAAGTGTAAATAAAGTTTATCAATGTTGATCGTGAAAAAAAAAACACGTATGACGAAGTATCGAACATTGTTTTAAGTTTCGATTTTCGATCTATCGGACAATTTTCTATCGACCAAATCGCAAATTCACCGGCTGACCGAAGTAATTAATCGTCCGTATCGGACGAAAGACGGCCGTTGTTTTACGTCGGATTAATTCGCGGTCGATGCTGAGACTCGAATTACCTGGGCGCGTGATTAATTCCCCAGACTCCCCTTTCCCCCTCGTCCACCGTCCCCTACCTCTTCTCAGCTCTGCCAATCCCCGTCCTTCTTTCGATATATCTACTACTCTACCGACAATGAGCGTTGATCAACGAGCGACGGTAAATACAGGTGATGAATACATCGATCGTTCAATGATGTTTTAACAATTTATTTCGTTTAATCTTCACTCGTATATCGTATCGTATAATACTTTATTATACTTCTATTATTTTGATTAGTACTTTCGTTTTTTTGTTCTTTTTTCTCACTTTGTTTATTTATTTATTTTTTTCTAAATTAATGATCGTATAAGTTAAAAAGTTTTCAGATCGTTTTATAGAAAAATATGAATATCTACTAGTTTTATTAATGAATTAAATTATATTTTGTATATGTTAAGTTAGAAACTTTTTCAACCCATTTACGTAAATGTATATAATAGGTAATAGGGCGTAGGGGAGGGTGCTATCTTGTGAATAAAACATAATATACTTTTATAATTATAACTTTTATAAAGTAAAATAAAATCAAAAGAGAATTTGTTTCTTCGTTAGATTTCAAAACTTTTCCAATCGATTCTCGTATATATAAAGTATACACAAATATATATATATATTTATGTATATAAATTTATATAATATAATTTTATATTTTAAAATAAAATTTAAAAATATTATATATTATCATAAATATATATATTTTGATTAATATTAAATAATCAACTGACAGATCATTTTATTATACATATATTAATAATTTATTATTAATATTTGTAATAATATTTTATTATAATAATAAATATTTCAAAATATTTTACTAGTTGATAATTTATTAAAGATATTACAAAATATCGATCGGATAATAAACATCACGTAGAAATAATTTTATTATTCATTCCCTTGATTTTATTTCCATACTATTTCATGTACCAACTACTCGTTTATTATCCATCCATACATACATATATATAGATTTTTGTTTTATTCCTTTTGATCTCAATCTCTCTCTCTCTCTCTCTCTCTCTCTCTCTCTCTCTTTAGACTCAAGACTTTATCTTACGATCAATTCCCGTCGCAAAAAAGAAACGAACTGAGAAAGAAATAAATAAAAACCCCTCACCATCCTTTTGTACTTCCCCTTCGAAAAAAAAAAAAAAATAATAAGTATATGTACATCTATATATAATACGAATGAAAGAGAATGAATTCGATGGTGGTTTAGGACCACGTAGGGATAAAATTTAGTCGTAAGGTTATTAATTTATATACGAAATATACGAATAGTGTAGTATGGTGTATATAAGGGGAAGTTAAAAGGGCTGATGGCTAACCCACGCGAGAGAAAAGAAACAGTTCTTTCTCTCTGTCCATAGGTACGACGCCTTCGAACGTCTAGGACTAATTTATGAAAGTTATGCCGTCCTAAGACGACCTTAAATCTTCTTTTCGTGCCTTGGCTTGGTTCGCGGTGAGTGTCGTGTCTCGTTGTTATCTTAACGACTGCCATGACTGCTAACGAGAATACAGACTGTTCGTTATCTCGACTGCAAGAGCACGCGCAGAGACCCTCTCGGCACGACACTCTCTCTCTCTCTCTCTTTCTCTTTCCCTGTCTCTCTCTCTCTCTTTTTCTCTCTTCGCGTGTTTTATATGCCGTACAAGAGACATCGAGTTTTCTTTCCTTCTTAAAAGAAAAGGTTGACTATGAATTGCTAGAATAGAATGCTAGAGATATTAACTTACTAAGGGGAAAAAAAAGAAAAAAAAATACTAAACTTCTAAACAGTTTAGATTAGATTATCTTATAACTTGTGGTTCATACGTTACACGTTATATGAATTCGCGTTTAACAAGAAAATCATCTTTTTATATGAAAAATGTATATCTGTAAATCGAGAGATTAATTTCCAATAATTTTATATTTTTAATATTATTAAAATTAATTTTAAATTTGCAATAAATTTATATATTAAATATAATATATAAATAACAATAATTATAATAATTATCATTAGATATATATATTTTATTATATTTATATTTATATATTTTATACATATATATTATATCTAATGTTAATTAAAAATAACATATAACTATAATAATAATTAACATTAATTTGAAATTTGTAATAAATTTATGTATTAGATATAAATAATTAAAAAAATTTATCTCTGCGTTATTAATTATTCTTGATAATACACGCTTATACAAACTGTACGAATAATGATAAAACAATGAGAACAATGTGTAAAACAATTAAGAAAATAAACATAATTACAAACGACGATGTTAAATTAAAGCAAATGTCATTTGTAAATGTAATAAATTACATTTTATTGTATATAGAACGTTGTCTAAAGATTCGCAATATCTTCAATGAGTTAGAGGAATTTTCTTGCTATAGGAATTTGAATTATACGGTATTCTTCTTTTTCTATTTATTCTTCTTCTGAGAATATGAAACGAAGCAAATATACAGTACGAGGTTAATTATCTATATCGTTTTCTCTTTGTAGTTTGACAAAGTAAATTTTCGAAAATAATAAGAAACAATTGGTACGTTCATATTCGTAACACATGAGAGAGACATACGCGTGTCGTTTTAAGAGGACAGAGAAGAT